AGCCATTGGAAACTCATAAAGAAATAGCAACAGGAATAGATGTGAAAGATAAAAGAGAAAAGTATACTTTTCGTCCCTCAACTTTTGGTGGAGTCTAGATTTGGCCCCTCAACTTCAAAACCGGACAACTTGCACCCCCAACTACCGAAACCGGACAAGGTTCATCCCCGGTCCCCCCGTAAAGAAATATAAGAGTGTTTGGATCAGTAAAGTAGTGGTCCAAACGCTCTTATATATCTTTATAGAGGTAGTACTTATATAAATTTAGAAAGCAAATGGCTGACATATGGCACCAGACACAAGTTCAAGATATGGTCAATCCATGGCACAAGTGTTTTGAAAAATGAAAGCATTTTCAACATCATCGAGTATGAATTAACAATAATTATAAGCAAAACAGCATTGAATAAATGGTCTTGTATGGAATGATGATGAGAATCCACGAGACAAGTCCAAACAGCAAACAGTTCCTTCCAAGACCAAAACAAGACTATTACTAGTTTTCATATGCAGAATCACATGGCCATTTTCTGTGTGTATATGACTATCTGATGGGCGTGGCAGTGCCCTGTTTAGGGCACTGCCACGCCCTAAAAACCTAGAGAGCAATGCAAACTTCAAAGAAAATAAAGCCCTTCACCACACAGTTGTGCAGCCCTGGCCCCTGGCACCACCACTGGCCCAAAGAAAGGGACAGTTATAGACAATACCTTCTTACCACTTGGCAACCACTTCGTCCTAAAAGGCTTAAACATCTAAAGCTGCTCTAAATTCATCTCCTGAACAAAACGACAAAAAGTCCCAAAGCAACTAATGGCACATGTTGCTAATCTTAAAGAGCACTGAATTAAGGGGGAGTTCTTTTTCTCCACAATCACACCTGTACAAATGTTTCAGGGTAGCTCGGAATGGGGAGGGGTTTGGGAGTAGAGCCCTCACCTGATATTGTGGTCGTGGCGGATGCTTTCGGAAGTGTTGACAAAGTCTCCCTCCTTGATAGCATTGGAACCATGGTCGGCCAGTTGTTGAGCCTGATTTACTGTTTTCTCCTCCTCTCCACCCTCCTCACCACCTGCCTCCTCACCAGGCTTCGACAGCAACAGATTTTGGTGGTTGCGTCGGGACATGGGAGTGTAGAAGGTGACAACTGGAACCACATTAAGGAAGCAACATTGATCGCACACCTTCCTCACCTGCTCAGATTGCAGCTCAATTGCGAAGATGCCAGCAATCGTACTAACGAAAATGGCATTTGCTCCCTCGGCAAAGCCCACCACTAGCACTCTATTACTTTCGTCCAAGCAAGCACTAGTTGGGAGCAAATTGGGCAGGTCGATGACCCGGCTCAGCGCCCATCGTGCCTTGGTGCCACCACTCGCCTCTCTTGTCCACAATTTGAGATGCGGATGCAAGTGTTGGATTACTCCCAGCCCATTGTCCTCTGTGAGCATGAGATTATACAGGCAGTCGCAGTGGACGTCCGGTGCACTGAACACAGTCAGGGAGCCCCTTGACAGATCATACTCCAGGATCGACCAACTCTCCTGGTAGTCGTACAAGACGAAGTAGAGCAGAGAGCTGCCAACCACAACGGATGAATATTGTATGCATCCCATTAACCTATCGCGCGTCGAGGTCGGCTCGCCCCAGGCACCGGTCTCCGACGAGTACACGCACGCCGACGTGCCATACTCGCCGTGATCCTCGTAGGGGAAGACGAAAAGCACGTGGAAAGGGCCCCCGAGGCAGCCGCGATGGTCGCATCCATCGGCCGCGCAGAGCACCGCCGCAGTCAAGTAGCGGCACTCCGACGCCGCGGGCACAGGCACGAGGTGCTGGGCGCCCGTGATTGGATCCCACACGAGGAGTTTCCTGGCCTCCTGGCTCCTGGGGAGGAAGAGGGCGCGGCCGTGGCGGCAGCCGATGGCCAGCCAGGAGCTGGGGTCCGGGGCGACCAAGGAGAAGGGCGAGGCGGTGGTGGGGGCGAAGAAGCGGGTTGGCTCGCTGGCCTGGTTGTGGAGGAGGCCGAGCATTGGGGGTGCCCCGTGGAGCTCGTAGAGGCGGCGGCGGAAGCCGGGGCCGGAGACGGCGCCGCCCCAGGCCTTGGAGATGAGGGAGGAGTGGAGGAGGCAGGCGGGGTCGTCGGGCGGGAGGCGGAGGAGGATCTCCTCGACGAGCTCGTCCGGGAGCGCCGCCGGCGGCGGCGGCGGCGGCGGCGCCATGGCGGTCGCTAGGTCTGGGCTGGGTGCGTGCGGTGCGGGAGACGGTGGAGGGGAGTGGTTCGGCTCAACCAGGTCAGTTCTTTTTTTTTTTAAGCTTCAACCAGGTTAGTTCGAAAGCCACAGGTCGTTTTGACAGAGGTTACACAGATCCGGAAGTTCGATATTGTGAACTTCTCACTGATTAGCTATTTTGGGTGTTTTCTGTTTGCAATTGAAATTGTGGAACTCTTTAAATCGTCTCCGTCAACCGGCGACGGTGTTGTAAAGCATCATCATCAGTAGCGGTGGTGTAGTTGCAAAGTAGCATAATGGAGGCACCGACGACGGGGGCGGTGGCCGGCATCGCCCTTTGGCCTTTTTGTAGACGCAAATGTGTGCAAGTGCAAATGATTAACGAACTGTGGTCGGCGTCATATGTCTCGGTGGAGGCGCGCTCGTTGGGTTGCATTATCCACTGTTGGGAGGTTGCTGAAGGCGGGTGTCGTGCGGTTCGCAACATCCTCGTTTTTACAGAAGGTTGCCTTGTGTCGCGACGCTGGGCTTGTTGGGTGTAGATCCAAAAAGAAAGAAGTAAGATGCGCTGCACACTTTGATCGAACGCCCGATCAGGCGGCTGATCTTTCTCTAAGATCTGCTAGCTGACGCCATGAAATAAAATCCTTGATTACGGAACCAGCTAATGCATTTATGGGTTGTGCTGCATTTTCCGAATAGGCAGTAGGGATTGAATTTGCTAAGACCAATTCTAACACATCTTGAGATTGGACACTGAAATCACCGGACCAATAACTTGTTCTCTTTTCTTGAATATAAAGAAAGCATTGTCTTCCTCTTAACTAGTACTAGTTGGTTCTTTATGCGGCTCTAATTTGCTTATCTCTCTTTGCTCTGGTATGAGAACTAGGCTGTAGCCTAGTGGAAAAGGGTCACAGTTCACCTGGGTGGGCTTCTTTTATAAAAATATGTCTTGGGTGCCCAGGGATCTCTTTTTTTTTCTCTGCTCTGGTATATGCATTGCCTCTACCATGTATCCTTTTCTTTTTTCTACATGTCTTTTTTTGAAATAGAATGTTGTTCATATTAATGCAGATGTCTGACACACCTTCGACTTCCAACTTAACACATTTGATTACTACTTTAGTAAGTTTTCTCACATGATTCACATCATATTTGCATGACAACAAACAAGCCAGAAGATCAAATCTCTTCAAGCCTTACTTGATGGAATGAAAAGAGATAGGTCATGATGCAAGTTCAAGCCCTTTCATTGGATGCAAAGATTAAATCGTATGGTCCTGTTTGCATTTGTGTTTGTGATGACAAAGGTATAGTCTCTCTTTTGTCTTCCATACCTTGCTTGATACAAGCTTTGGAGCTTTGAGCATTTTCTTTGTTTGTGCCAAAGACACGCATTTTGTGCTTTATGCATCTGAACATGGCGGTCCAAATTTGATCATGTGGGCTCATGCCTTATGGAGCAGCTTGTTTCATGAAGGACTAGAAGGGTTGGGTGTGATTTGCTGTGTCGTTGGTGTTGTTGGATTTCTTCAAAATAAAATCACTACATTTGAAAAAATATGGTGTATTACTTTTTTGAAAAGTCAAACATTTTAAGTTCAATAAAATTTGTAGAGAAATATATCAAAATCCATATTATCAAATCGGTATTTTTAAATTCATCATGAAATGAATTTCCATACTTTTTCTGTCTAATATTCTTGATGTCGATATTTTTGCTTTAAACTTGGTCAAAGTTGAAGAAACTTGACTTTCTACAAAAATAACACCCTTTATATTTTGGAACTGGTGGAAAAATCATTGGCCCGGTCAAAATAGTAAACCAAATTCAAAATTGAGTAGCTCAATTGAATGAAAGAGCTTCAAAATTAGTTAACACAGTGAATTAATTATTATTTTTGAATGGGAGAGCTTGAAAAAGTGTTGACCCGGTCAAAATTGGTTGGCCCAATTCTAAATTGAATACGTCAACTAATTGTAAGGATTAAAAAGTCAGGAAGCACAATGTATGATACTTCCTCCGTAAAGAAATATAAGAGCTGACCGAGAGAGCTTTGAGAAGTTGTTGACCTGGTTAAAATTGGGCGACACAATTTTAATTAGAGACCTCAATTGAATGTAAGCTCTTTAAAACTAAGAAGCTTACTGGTTATAGAGGATTATGTGATTTAACTTAATTCATCCTGCCATCAACTTTAAAATCGGAAAAGATAACGTTTGTCTAGTGTGTTCAGCTTATTATTATTTTTACACCTCAAAAATGGCAGCCAAAGATGAGATAGATATCCTTTCAATTGACAAATCCAGTGTCAGCAACACATGGAAACCAGATTTGGCGGAGCAAAATCATCCTGGAAAAAAGAATTCGTTCCATTTCATTTCCGAATTGAAATGGAAACAAAGGGTGCCATTTCTTCTTCTTGTTTTGGATAACTAGCTCTGGGGAGGCAAGCAAGTCGGCAGGGCATCCTGCACCGTGCATCCATGGCCGGATCCCACGGGGACCAGCGCCCGGAGCGACGCTTTTGTTTCCGCCCGTGGACGCGTGGCCATGGCGCGGATCCCCCCAACGGAGTAGGGTCCAACGTCCAAGGCTGCCGTGGCTTCGCAGCCACTGCTTCCCTTTCCTCTTCCCTCTATACATACATATCCTACCGTGCGTATCTCACTGTATTCTACTCCATCTTCTTGCTCTGCACTGCTCCCAGCTGGTCAGTCAGCCACACGGGACGAGAGAGATCGGCGAAGAAGGAAGCAAGTATGCCTAGCGCGGGGCTGTCGGCGGGGTCGAACAAGGTGGACGTGGCCATCGACCTCGGGAACCCGCTCCTCAACCGCACCGTCGACGGCTTCCTCAAGATCGGCGCCGTACGCTCCCTCCTCTTCCATCCAATGTCTGTATGTTGCAATGTGTGTCTGATCCAATGTATGCGTGCAGGTCGGCGCCTGCAGGGTGGTCGCCGAGGACGCCTTCGACTGCATCCACAGGGGTAACTAACCACAACGCATCCCGTCTCTCCTACTCTGGCTAGCATAGAAACGGTGTTGCTAGCCACAAGATCTGGATTTATTTCTGTGGATGTTTGTTAAGTTTTTTTTTTTTTTTCAATTGAATTGGTTTGTTAAGTTAACTCATCAACTGATTCTCACTCTCTGAAAGAAAACTCATCAACTGCCGGAACCGTTCCTGGAAATAGATAAAAAGGGGATTTCCTTTTCTGGATGAAGAAGCAGAGCAGCTTAGGTTCAGAGCGTGCCATATTTCAGTTAACACCTAGCCATATTCAGTTGTTCATCAAGTACCAGCAGCTAGCTGTGTCTCATGAAAACGCGCAGAGTGGCTTAGATTCAGAACCGCGCAGATCTCGGTTAGATCCTGGCCAGATGCTGTCTGTTGTTGTTATCCAGTGTTATAGAGCACTATTTTTCACTCGCGTACAGTAGGGCATACTCTACATCAGTTTGTGTTGGCGCTGTGCAGACAAATGTGACACCAACTTATCTTCATCTCTTTGCAGGGGATATCTCGAAGCGCCAGCTTGAAGAGACGGTAAGCATCAGTTTCCGCCGCGCTTGGTTTTGTCTCACTTAGTCTTTTAAACACCCCTGGCTTGACGCCATCGCTGTCGTGTGATTAGAGGGCATTATGTTGCACCATTTCCCCTGAGTTTGGCTACCGTCTGAGTGTCAAACAACTAGATGTTCCGCTCGTTGTTCAGGAAATCGTTAACTGATAACTGCCCTGTCGGGTGGCGAGTAGGGGATTCATAGGTGAATCGGCCTGCTAACCGGCCGATTAATCTGTTAATTCGCTGCTCGGTCGCCCTTTGAGCAGGGATTACTTGGCTAGTTAACTAATTAATCAGCCAATTTTTCAAACATCTGCTCCACTAGTAGTGTACTGACAGGCAGATGATATATTCTAAGCTGGAGCTGACTAAATGTTCAGTACTTCAGGCTATTTCAATAGCAGTGCCTAGTTTCGAGCAAACTCTCGTAGAATAATGTTTAAGTTTTTTTCTTTTTGAGCAAAGGATAATGTTTAAGGGCATTGAGGAAAAATAGCTTAACTGAAAGTCTAAGCCTTATTTCTGTGGATTAGTGAAAATTCTGTGGCCTTATTTCTGCACCTGCGTTATTAAGGTTCAGGCAACTATCTATCATCTGTGGTCCACTGATGTGGTATTCTGGTTTTTTATGCAGCTGAAGAAAATGTGCAAGGAGGGTGCATATTGGGGTAACTAAGTAGAAGAACATTTCTCTACATATTGTCTTATTTGGCTCGATAAATGTGTTAACATGAATCGTTCATCCGTTCTTCTAATTCTCGCTGACAGATTCAAATGCTTTTTTGTGTGACTAATCTGCAGGTGCTGTTGCTGGGGTGTATGTAGGCATGGAGTATGGGGTGGAAAGGGTCCGTGGTGACCGTGACTGGGTAATGATTCTCTGAAAATGAATCTTTCATGTTTCTTGCACTTAACTGAACCTTATGTGGAGGAAAAATCTGCCTACTTAACAATCCCACATCTTTCTTTTGTTGAGTAAGATCTTGAGCTAATTACTTAATTAGTGTATAAGAGAAGATTCAATCAGATCCATGGCATCTCATAAATCATGATGACAACTTTAACTTCTGCCTCCACACCGTGTCAAAAACGCTCTTATATTATGGGACGGAGGAAGTATTTGCATTCATAATCGATGATACCGTTGCATGTTTTGTGTCAGTCTTAGATTGTTTATTAATCCATCTCCATTTTCCGGTGCTCCCGCAGAAAAATGCGTTGCTAGGAGGCATTGCAACCGGTGCCCTGGTCTCTGCCGCGAGCAACAACAAAGGGAACAAGATCGCCCAGGACGCCATCACCGGAGGCGCCATCGCGACCGCCGTCGAGTTCATCAACTACCTCACCTAGCTGTGAGGCCATCCATATTCGCAGCTATGTTTTTATCGGACAAGACTGAATAAGAACTTCTTGACTGAAGCCAAGCCATCACCCTCTGTGTTAATAATTGGAGCCGTTTCCTCCAATGTTCTTCCATTTTCTGTTGCCTGCGTTCTCATGTCCATGTTCTGAATAATTTATTCTCCTTCGTGGTTTGCATCCTTCAGTTATGGCATCCTTTGTGCTGGCCTAGTTTGGTACCATAGTTCTTTCAAAATCGTGGCAGGAATGACACAAATGCCCTCACTAACCGCACAGTGATTCCGGTCACGGGTGTCTAATTAAGTAAGCTCAACGCTCCATCCATACATTCAAGGACTCCGTGGCCCAATGGATAAGGCGCTGGTCTACGAAACCAGAGATTCTGGGTTCGATCCCCAGCGGAGTCGCTTCTTTTTTTTTGGTACCTCCCTCCTTCCCAGTTAGTGCTATTATTTTTCTTCAGAAATGTTTATGTCCGCATTACCGTTTAAGCAAACTTGTTTTGTCGTCTTTATCAAAACTATGTGTTCGAAACTAAATGATAAATGGCAATGTTAAATTTTGCTTGCTTTCTGCTTTCTCTGTCCGGAATTACTCGTCGCCTAAACGGACATCTAGCAATTCGGGATGTGGGGAGTATGTTAAATTTTGCTTGCTTTCTGCTTTCTCTGTCCGGAATTACTCGTCGCCTAAACGGACATCTAGCAATTCGGGATGTGGGGAGTATTATTTTTGTTTCGAAATGGTTATGTCCTCATTACCGTAGATATTATGAACAGCCCGAAACTAAATGATAAATGCCAATGCTAAACTTTGCAACTTATTTAACTCTAAAAGTGTAAACTACCAATTACCTCTGATACGTGGTCAAAGTATAGACATTTTCGACCTTTATTTAGTACTTCCTTCATTTGTACTTACCTCTATTAAGATTATAGAAAACAAAATTGATCCTTTTTTGAGATGAGATGGTCCTATCTCTAATAGAAACTTTACCCGATCCAATAATCAGATTGATCCTATTTTTGCTGTCATTGATAGAACTAGGATGCACATTCCCCTCTTTCTTCACTTGTACTCCCTCCGTCCCATAATGTAAGACGTTAGTCCCGTAATGTAACGTCCTAACGTCTTACATTATGGGACGGAGGGAGTAACCTTTTCAAGGGTGGGCCGTGGGCAGTGATCATACTCCCCTGATGTTTGATACCGGTGCTAGAATGATCAATAGCCCTAAAATGTTTAGGTTTGAGAAATGACGGTTATCTCAACCTGGTTTTGTTCAATTAGTTCATGATATGTGTGGACTTCTGTCTTTGACAATATCTCTTCTGTTGATAATTCGCAATGCAGAACTAGGGTTCTTAGGAAGAAAATTAAAGGCTGCAGTATAAATATTGAGGCTGCCATTAAGAAGAAAAAGAAGGCACTCCTTATGGAGTTTAATATGTTAGATGTCATATCTAAATCTAGCCCACTTTCTACTACAGACTATGAAAGAATAAAATATATTAAGACTGGATTAAGTGAGATTTAGAAAAAAAAAAGAGGAGTGCTTTATGGCAGATATCCAAAGATAGATAAATTCTTGAGGGAGATCGTAGTAATGCCTACTCCCATTCTTTGGCTAATCATATACATCGTAAAAACCACCTCTTAGAGCATTACTAGTAGAGTCCTCAGACCCTCAAACCCCTAAAAAAAACTGCTTTTTTACAGTTTTCGTCGAAAAAAAGCCGTAGACTAGAACCCCTTAACCCTCAAACCCTCAAAAAAATTTAAAGGTCCAACCCTCAAACCGTCTCCCAATCCTCAAAAGTAAGGGTTGGGGAGCAAAACCTACCCCCAACCCTCATTTGGCAGTTATCCTTGTGCGGGAGGGGAAAATCCTCCGAACTCCCGCGCCCACGCCCGCGACCGCCGCTGCTAGTCGCCCCCGTCGCCGGCGGCCACCCCGTCGACCTCCCGCGCGCAACAACAACGTCGTTCATGGGGAATATTCCGTTATAAGGGTTGGGTTTGAAGGTTCTAATCTTTGTCCCTGTTTTTCAACCCGTAAAAGTGCACAAAAAGATCATTTTTGGACCCTTAAAATGCTAGTGAGGGTTTGAGGGTTTGAGGGTTCTACTAGTAATGCTCTTAGAATTGAATGGACCTCAGGTCCTGTTACCTCTACTTCTGACATGCTTAATGTTGCAACTACTTTTCATAAAGACCTTTTCTATTTAGAACCAAAACCTGATATCCATATGGATTATGCTTTCTGCAATGAGAATGATTTAATGACTATGGAAGACAATGCCTTACGGGGAAAACCCTTTTTCGAGGAAGAAATAAAGACTGCCATTATGAGTTCTTATGCAAGTGATGCTCCTGGACCTGATGGCCTCTTTATTTTATCAAACTTTCTAGGACTTGATCAAAGATTATTTTATGTGGTTGCTGAGGGATTTTGAAGCTGGTACCTTAGATTTTTATCATTTAAATTTTGCTAATATTACTTTAGTCCCTAAAGTTCCCAATGCCAAAGATATGAAAAACTCCGGACCTATTAGTCTAAGTGATTGTGCGGTGAAAATTGTCTCTAAAGCTATGACCACTAGAGTCTCTCCTACTTGTGAAAGATTGATATCTCGTAACCAGATTGCTTTTATCAACGGTAGATTCATTTTAGAAAGTGTGGTCAAGGTGCATGAAGTGATTCATGAGATTCACAGGACTGACACCAATGGCCTGGTCCTGAAACTAGACTGTCAGAAAGCCTATGATAAAGCGAGTTGGGATTTCCTCATGGAAATGCTCACTTCTAGAGCCTTTGGGCAAAAATGAATTAATTGGATTTGTTGTTCTCCGCATCAAAGCTCATTTTTGTGCTAGGATTCATGACACTAATGGAACCACTTTGCGGGGGGAAGGGGTTGAACAAGGCGACCATCTTTCTCCATTGCTTTTTAATCGGGTGGATGATGTATTTTCTAAAATGCTTGCTAAAGCTATGAATCAAAAATTGATAGCTAGTATTCTACCGCATGTGGTCCCTTTGGTGGTGTTGTCAGCCTTCAATATGTTGATGACACCATTTTTTTCTTAGAGGCTTCTGCTGAATATGCTAGAAATTTAAAATAGGTCCTTGTTTGTTTGAAAAAACCTTCTGGATTAAAGATTAACATCCATAAGAGTGACCTCCACACCATACATGTGGACGAAGAGATGTCAAAATGCTTTGCTCAGATTTTTTGCTGTCACATAGGAGATTTCTCGTTTAATACCCGGGAGTCCCTCTTCATTATAAAAAAAACTGAGAAGGGAAAATCTCCAACCTATTGTTGATAGGATTATTAAAAACATTGTTGAACGGTTTGGTTGGAATTTATCCTATAGGGTAAGTTAATTTTAATCACTACTTGTATTGCTAGCATCCCTACCTATTTGATGTCTATGATGAAATTTCCTAAGTGGCCAATTGATGCCATCACCTCACAAATGTCCCACTTCTTCCAAGGGAATTTAGGGAGGAGCATAAATATCATCTTGCAAATCGAGGGCTTATCTCTATGAGAAAAGAGTTTGGTGGGACGAGTGTCCCCAATCCGAGAGATTTTAACATGGTCTTAGGCCAACTCCAACGCACAACCCCAAATGGTCTGGTCGCGTCCGTTTGGAGATAAACAGACACAAATCGTGCCCCAACGAGCGGGAGAAAACGGACAACGTATTTCTGGCCCAAATTTGGGTCGCGTTTGCGTCGAAACAGACAGCGCGCGGATAGGCGGAATGCGTGCCCTTGTCCTCCCCTGTCCCGGCCGTCGCGGACAGAACACGCCCGCTTTTCCTCTTATTCCCCAAAACCCACCCGCGCTCCCCTCCCATCCCACTTCCATGGTCGGCGCCATGAAGAAACCCGCAACCGGCGACCCGGTCGCCACTACCGCCCGCCCCGCGACGCGAAGAAGAAGAACCCACGACCAGAGCTCACGCCGGCGGAGGTCGCGTGGCGAGACTTTGAATCGCCAAGAGGAGGGCCCGGCGGGCCCTTGCGGCGGCGAAGAAAGCCACTACCGACTTCGCCGCCGAGAACGTGGCCGCGTAGCATAAGGCTGTCGTCACCACAACGAGGCCATCACCGCCAAGGCCACACAGGCGGCGACGACGCAGGCCCACATCATAATAGGGTTGTGCCGACCCAGTCGACCATTCTCTCCGCCACTGCCATGGTCGCGGCAAGCACAGGCTCGTCGGTCGTTCGCCCTCCGCAGTACCAGTCGTCGAGCTACTCCATAACATCAGAGATGCCCGGTTTTCATCCACTGCGGGAGCATGCTCAGACCCGGTTCTCCGTGTCGTGGGACGGCAGCGTGATCGCGCCGGCCGTCCCCGGCGCCATGTCTGTCATCGACGTCAACGTCACGCCTGAGTACAGTGGCGCTGGCTAGTCGCCCAACGAGACGCAAAGGAAGCAACCCCGACCGATTCCTACGGCCAACCTTCCCAGCGCCCGCAACCTGCCCGACGAAATGCCAATCCCGACGTCGGCGACCGACGACCCCTGACTACAAATGATGTGTCCGCGCGTTGGGTGCACGGCCAACGCATCGAGGAAAATGGCCGGACGCCGCCCCATAGCCCTACCAAACGGACAAAATCCGGACAAAACGAACATCCGTTTCGGGTCATGTGTGGGAGTTGGCCTTACTTGCTTGGTGGAGCAAAAGGTTCTTTGACGAGAGGGAAAGTGATTGGAAGAAACTTGTAAGTTTTAATTTCTTTAGTGGTTCCCATGTTTTAAATATGTTGTTAACAACTTTGGGCCAAAACCTGGTTCTCCATTCTGGAAAAGCATTGTATCTGTGTGCAACAGTTTTCTACAAATGGATGGGTCCCTGGAATGGGGATAGCGTGGCCTATCTATCTTCTTGCTCTGTATCTGTGTGCCGAGTGCTAGACGAGAGAGAGCGAGAGAGGGAGGGAGGTCGGCCGAGAAGGTTCAG